CAGTGGGAGTAGCAGTGGGAGAGGAGTGGATTGGGGCTCAGTGGGAGAGGAGTGGATCGAGCTCAATCGGAGTAGCAGTGGGAGAGGAGTGGATTGAACCAGAATCCTAAGGTGGAGCTCCTAAGGTCACATCATGGGTCAAAAAGTGGCATAGAGCAAGAGGATTGGCTGTTTGGAGACCAGCTTTAGTGAGTGAGTAGTACCAGGAGGGAGTCACACTATTGTTTGTTGTTTGTTAAGAACTGAGGGAGAGAAAAAGAAATTTGCTTTGGTGACTAATGAGCAAGGATGAGTAATTGGTTCCTATTTTCTTGTCTGTAGTTGATAAGGCTCACCATGCCAGGTGAACTCAGCCTTGTGGAATGCTCCTACTGCATATGTGGGCAATCAGGTACACTTCCAGTGTCCATAGTGACTACATATGCAGGACGTGTGTCCGCCTACAACTGCTGATTGACTTAATGGAGGAACTGGAGCTGTGGATAGACTCACTATGGGGACATTGTAGTTAGCACATTTAGCACCACTAGTAAGGGCTACATAGATGGAAAAGTGTTGGGTGACCACCAGAAAGACTACTGAGTGTGGGCAGGTGGAGTAGGAGTCTCCTGTGGCCATTCCCGTCTCAAAGAGAGATACTGTGTTGGATACTAGTGGAGTTGGCCTCTCGGCGAAAGCAACAACAGCCAGGTTTTTGGCACCACAATTGACTCCACTGCATGGCATGGGGAGGAAAAAGACTGGGAAAGCTTTAGTGATAGGGGACTCAACTGTAATAGGAACTGATAGGCAGTTCTGTGGTAACAAATGAGACTGTCGAATGGTATATTGCCTCCCTAGTGCCAGGGCTGGAGATGTCTCAGAGCAGCTGCAGAGTATTCTGAAGGAGAAGTGTGAAGAGGCGTGGTAAAGAAAGGAATGAGGTCCTGCAGCAGGAATTTAGAGAGTTAGGTAATAGATTAACGAGGAAGACTACTAAAGTTTTAATCTCCAGATTACCTCCCGTGCCATACACTGCTGAGTATAGGAATAGGAAGATAGGACAGATGAACGTGTGGCTAAAGGGATTCTGTAGGAGGAAGGGCTTTAGAATTTTGGATCACTGGGACAGTTTCTGGGGAAGGTGGGATCTGTACACCCGGACTAGGTGCACCTGAAATGGAATGGGTTCAATATCCTTGCTTGGGAGATTTCAAACTGATCTGGCAGTTGGAGGGGGCACAGAGCACATGTAAGGTCAGGGAGAAGGTCCAATCAGATACAGAAGGAATGCTAGGACAGTCCGGTACAGGGGAAGATATGGGAGGTCCAGAAAACAAAATTGTATTTATTCTAATGCAAGGAGCTTGACTAATTAGACCATTGATCAACATACGGAAATGTGATATCGTTGCAGTCACTGAGTCATGGTTGAAGGAGGGATGGGAATAGCAGCTCATAAGTTTTAGGTGCAATGGAAGGGGAAGTAAGAGAGGTGGATGCATCATTATTGATAAAGGACACCATCACTGCAACATACAGAGAGGACATACTAGAAGGTCTTCAAATGAGACCATCTGGGTAGAACTCGGAAATAAAAATGGGGCGATCATGCTACTGGGATTATACTACAGGTCTCCCAATAGTCAGTGGAGGATAGAGAAGCAGATATGTAGGCAAATCACAGAAAAGTGTGATAGAAACAGGGTTATACTTGTAGGGGACTGTGATCGTCTTAGTGTGAAAGTGTAGAAGGGGTAGAATTTTCAAAGTGCATCCAGGAGAGCTTTTGGTGCCAGTACGTAGACAGTCCTACTAAAGATGGAGCAGTGCTAGACCTGATCCTAGGGAAGGAAGCTAGTCAAGTACTTGGAGTTTAAGTGGGTGAGGAGTTTGGGGATAGTGACCATAACTCTGTAAGTTTCAAAATTATAATGGAAAGGGATAAGAATAGTGCAGAAATTGGGGGAAGGCTGATTTCAGCATCATTAGACAGGATCTAGCAAACGTAGACCGGGAGCAACCACTTGCAGTTAAGTCTACATTTAGAAAGTGGGAGTCTTTTGAAAGTAGTATAATGAGAATTCTGGGCCAGTGTGTTCTTCTTAAGGGCAAGGGCAGTAAGTTCAGGATAGCCTGGATGTCAAGGCATATTGAGAGTTTGATAAAAAGAGGGAAGCATATGTCAAGTGCAGCACATTAAAAACAGAGAAGGCCTTTCAAAAGTACAGTGCGTAGGAAGTTGCTTAAAAAGGAATTAGGAGGGTAAAGAGGGGCCAGGAAATATCTTTGGCTGATGGGATCAAGGAAAACCCCAAGGCCTTTTGTAAGTATGTGAAGATTACGAAGATTACCAGGGAAAAAGTGGGACCTTTAGAGACCAAAGGGGCAACCTGTGTGTGGAGGCAGAGGACATGGATAAGGTCTTAAATGAAAACTTCTCATATGTATTTACAGAGGAGAAAGACATTGATTGTAGCCAGGGCTGTCAGTTGGGATGGTGAGATTCTAGATCATGTTAACATTAATAAGGAGGTATTAGATGGCATGCAGGTGTATAAATTCCCAGGGCCTGATGAAGTGTGTCCCATACTGCTATGGGAGGCAAGGGATGAGATTATTGGGTCCCTGGCAGATGTATTTAATACTTCACTGGCTATGGGTGAGGTGCCAGATGACTGAAGGATAGCCAATGTCATTCCTTTGTTCAAGATGGGCAGCAAGGATAGGTCAGGAAATTATTGACCAATTAGTCTGATGTCAGTGGTAGGGAAATTATGCAAAATATTCTGAAGGATAGGATTAACTAATACTAGGAAAGGCATTGATTGAACAGGGATACTGAGCACGGATTTGTTAGGGGTAGATCCTGTCTGACTAATTTATTCAGTTTTTTTGAAAAGGTAACTAAATACATTGATGAGGGCAGTGCAATCATGTGGTTTAGGCACTTCAATAAGGCCTTTGACAAGATCCCACATGGAACACTCGTCCAAAAGGTAAGAGCCCTTTGGAACCGAGGCAAATTGGCAAACTGGATCCAAAAATGGCTTACAAATAGGAGGCAAAGTGTGATGGTGTAGGGTTGTTTTTGTAATTGGAAGCCTGTGACCAGTGGTATACCACAGGGATCAGTGCTGGGTCCTTTGCTGTTTGTTATGTACATTAACGACTTGGATGTGAATATAGAAAGAATTAATTAACAAGTTTGCAGCTGGTATGAAAACTGGAGGTGGTGTTGATGAGGAAAATAGTCTCAGGCTACAGGCTGATATTGATCAGCTGGTAGATTGGGCAGAGCAATGGCAGCAATCCTAGTAATTGTGGAGGAGATGTACTTTGGGAGGTTTGGAAGAATATACGCAACACATAACGGGTCATTAGGAAGAATGAGGAACACAGGGACCTTGGTGTACAAGTATATTTGATTCCTGAAGGTGTTAGCACAGGTGGACGGCGTGGTGAAGAAGACATATGGGATACTTGCATTTATTAGCCAGCCATAATAGGAATAAGGAAGTGTTGTTACAACTTCTTAAAGCATTGGTTAGGCCACAGATGGAATACTGTGTACAGTTTTGGCTCGTCACACTATCGGAAAGACATGATTGCACTGGAGAGGGTGCAGAGAAGAGTCCCCAGGATGTTGTTAGGAGGAGACACTGGATGGGCTGGGTTTGTTTTCCCTAGCGCAGAGGAGACTGAGGGGGAAATCTGATATAAAAAATTATGAGAGGCAGAGACAGTAGATCATTTGAATCTCTTCCCCATGGCAGATGCGTCAAAGACCAGAGGGCATAAGTTTATAGTGAGGAGTAAGTAGCGTAGAGGAGAGGCTATGGACCAAATGCAGGTAAATGGGAGTGTTGGTCCACATATAAGTGGTGGGCTGAAGAGCCTGTTTCTATGCTGGATAGCTCTATAACTCTAAGATAGCTAGTCCAAATCCTCAGATTTCATTAATAACCCGTTTACATGAATCCTCAAGATGATTTCT